TATTAGTATTCTTAGTATTGGTATTGTTACTGATATTATTATTAGTAGTATTGTTATTATTAGTGGTAATACTATTGTTCCTACGACTATTACTACCAGTAGTAGTAATATTATTCCTTTTATTATAGTATTACTACTATTATTAGTATTAGTTTTATTGTTTTTAATATTAATACCAGTATTATTATTCTTACTACTAGTAGTATTATTAATATTATTATTAGTAGTAGTATTATTGTTATTAGTGTTAATAGTATTAGTATTAGTATTATTATCAGTAGTATTATTATTCTTCTTATTCGTACTATTATTATTCTTATCATTCGCATGTGTCTTCTTATTCTTCTGAGTTGTAGTATTAGTATGATTAGTAGCAGTATTATTATTAGTAGTTTTATTAGTAGTAGTAGTAGTAGTAGTAGTAGTAGTAGTATCAGTATTAGTATTAGTATTAGTAGTATTATTATTCGTGTTAGCAACAGTATTATTATTAGTATCATTATTATTAATATTATCAATATTATGGTTATTCATATTATTATTATTCCTCGTGTTCGTCTTATTCTTCTTATTATTATTAGTCGTTTCAGTATGCTTAGTATTCTTCTGATGTTTCTTAATATTCTTTTTATTGTTAGTGTCATTATTCTTATTAGTATTATTATTATTGCTATTATTCTTATTAGTCTTATTATTCTTATCATTATTATTTTTATTATTATTATGCCTATTATTAGTAGTTCTCTTATTATTATTTTTATTAGTACTATTAGTATTCGTAATCGTCTTCTTATAAGTATTATTATGAGTCTTATTATTATTAGTATTCGTCTTCGTCTTATTATCCTTAGCATTATTAATAGTATTATTCGTATTGTTATTCTTATTACTGGTATTAGTAATGTTCTTCTTATTCGTCTTCTTATTATTATTAGTATTAGTATTATGATTATTATTATTGTTCGTACGTTTCTTCTTATTATTATTCTTCTTCTCCTTCCTCCTCCCCCTCCTCCTCCTCCTCCTTTTCCTCCTCCTCCTCCTCCTCCTCCTCCTCCTCGTCCTCCTCCTCCTCCTCCTCCTCCTCCTCCTCCGATCGTTATCTGGTTCCCCGCCGCACCCGTCCAGCCAACCACTTGCGCCGCTACACCGTTTTTGTTTCATGAACTCTCCATTACCCATCCTTTTCTTCCAACGGAGGATGTTGAGGGAAAAAGAGAGAGATAAGCAAGGGGGAAGAAGTAGGAGGGAGGGGAGAAAGAAAAAGAGGACAATTATCCCGGCAAAGCAACCTAACATCGATGTGTAGGAGCATATCTGGAAGCATTCCCCTTAAGATTCGGATGAGAATCCAGTTGTAGAATTCTGCTGTTCTCGCAGTCGTAGTCGCATTCGCGATGACAGTCGCAGTGGCAACGGCAGTCGCAGTCACAGCCTCAGCCTCAGCCTGCAGCCTCAGCCTCAGCCTGCCTCAGCCTCAGCCTCAGCCTCAGCCTCAGCCTCAGCCTGCTTCAGCCTCAGCCTCAGCAGCCTTCAGCCTCAGCCTCGGCCTCAGCCTCAGCCTGCCTCAGCCTCAGCCTGCAGCCTCAGCCTCAGCCTCAGCCAGCCTCAGCCTCAGCCTCAGCAGCATCAGCCTGCCTCAGCCTCAGCCTCAGCCTGCCTCAGCCTCAGCCTCAGCCTGCTTCAGCCTCAGCCTCAGTCTGCCTCAGCCTCGGCCTCAGCCTCAGCCTGCCTCAGCCTCAGCCTGCATCAGCCTCAGCCTCAGCCTCAGCCTGCCTCAGCATCAGCCTGCCTCAGCCTCAGCCTCAGCCTCAGCCTCAGCCTCAGCCTCAGCAGCCTGCTTCAGCCTCAGCCTCAGCCTCAGCCTGCCTTCAGCCTCAGCCTCAGCCTCAGCCTCAGCCTGCCTCAGCCTCAGCCTGCAGCCTCAGCCTCAGCCTCAGCCTCAGCCTGCCTCAGCCTCAGCCTCAGCCTCAGCCTCAGCCTCAGCCTGCCTCAGCCTCAGCCTCAGCCTCAGCCTCAGCCTTCAGCCTCAGCCTCAGCCTCAGCCTCAGCCTCAGCCTCAGCCTGCCTCAGCCTCAGCCTCAGCCTCCCTGCCTCAGCCTTCAGCCTCGCCTCAGCCTGCCTCAGCCTCAGCCTCAGCCTCAGCCTGCAGCCTCAGCCTCTGCCTTCAGCCTCAGGCCTCAGCCTCAGCCTCAGCCTGCATGAGCCTCAGCCTCAGCCTCAGCCTGCAGCCTCAGCCAGCCTCAGCCTCAGCCTGCCTCCTCAGCCTCAGCCTCAGCCTCAGCCTCAGCCTCAGCCTCAGCCTCAGCCTCAGCCTGCCTCAGCCTCAGCCTCAGCAGCCTCAGCCTGCCTCAGCCTCAGCCTGCCTCAGCCTCAGCCTGCCTCAGCCTCAGCCTCAGCATCAGAGCATTCAAAATGTGGCCCGGGATGGAATTCTGGGAACTCGAAGAACACGAAGTGGCCTACAGTTGGCTCCGGGCATTCAAAATCATGCCCAGGA